AGAACAATTAACCAATGGAACAACCTGCCTCCAGAAGCGGTGAATGCTCCAACACTGGAAGTTTTTAAGAAGAGACTGGACAGCCATTTGTTCAAAATGGTGTAGGGGTTTCCTGCCTGATGTTGGACTAGATGACCTCCAAGGTCCCTTCCAACATCATCATCATCATCATCATCATCATCATCATCATCATCATCATCATCATTATTTCAGACAAATGGCTGTCCAGTCTCGTCTTAAAAACTTCCAGTGTTGAAGCATTCACAGCTTCTGGAGGCAGGTTGTTCCACTGGTTAATTGTTCTCACTGTCAGGAAGTTTTTCCTTAGACTACCTGTATACAGTATGACTCTGGGCAGCTTATCAACAATTAAACCACAGTATAGTACAAAAACTACAAAAAAGGAAAAATACAGCAATTTAAAAACAAAAATATATATAAAAGCATATTAAAAACATCATAAATACCTGAAACTCACAGCCCACAATCCTGTTCGTCAATTCCTATAGCTCTTGAAACAATGGCTCACTTACTTTCATATTCAACTTTGTGCCAGTATATTTATGTACATTTAACTATGCTCATTTTTGCCTTGTCCCTTGAATTAATTTCAGCCCGTCCAGAATGATTGTTTGCTTAACCTGTTGCCAAACTTGATTTTAATGGATTGCAGAAATGGCTGGCTTTGTTTTAACTGAAACAGTTAATCATCTGTTTCATGGAGATTTTCTGGGTTTTGATTGCAATAAAACATTTAAGAGCGTGTCTGCTTCTTCAACATTCCCTACTCAGCTGTTTTTATGTACAATTCCCCTCACTCTTAAAAACTGCCAGGTGTAATGAATAATAAAACATAAGACTTATTTACTAAACTAAAACCTTCATTTTTAATAACTCACAAATTTTCTTAAAAATTCAGCAACACAGCATGATTCGTCCTTTCCCTTGTAATACGTATTGAGAAATCTTTTTTCCTTGTCCGCTAAGGTATGGAAAATGTTGGGGTATTTGACATTTTGGCTGCATGTGGTAGGCACTCTCACATGATGGCTATATTGGGTCTAGAGTTGAAGGCATTGGGCTAGAAACAAGGAGACGGTGAGTTCAAGTCCTACCTTAGGCATGAAAGCCAATTAGGTGACTTTGGGCCAAACATCAGGAGGCTGTGAGTTCTAGTCCTGCCATAGTCATGAAAGCTGGCTGGGGTGACTTTGGGCCAGTCATTTCTCTGTCATATCCTGCCCCGCCCCACAGGATTGTTGTGGTAGGGAAAATGGAAGGAAGAAGGGGTATTAGATATGTTCGCTGCCTTGAGTTATTTATAAAAATAATAAAGGTGGGATTTTAAAAAAATCTAACACCCCACCCAAGCCTGCCCACCTAACTACAGAACAAATCTGCATAAGACTTGACATCCATGAGTAAGTTTTAGAAACATTTCCTTACCTGGTTCATCAAGGCCTTCAACAATGCCAGAGCTTCTAATGTGCTGCCTAAATAAACATAAATTATCGGCTCAATTGTGATAGTCGAGGACTATCAGTACATCAGTCTGCCCCAGAGCTAAGAACTCCTTCTAAATCTTTTATATAATCCTTACGGAGAATTGCAGAATGCCAAGTGGCACTTTTATTCAAGCGGGCTGTTAAATGCCCCTGTTTTTATTTGGATTTTAATCCTTTTGTGTTCTACAGTGATTCTTTAACGTCAGGTCACTTTTGGTTTCTTATAAACTTAAAGAAGAAAAGAGGCTAAAACATATAAGGAACGGTTGCTGGAATTGGGTGTGTCTAGTTCAGTGGTTCTCAACCTTTTTATTGCCGCGACCCCAACCGGTCGTAAGTCGAGGACTAAACCGGTCGTAAGTCGAGGACTAAACCGGTCGTAAGTCGAGGACTACCCAACCAGTCATAGGTCAAGGACTTTCCCTGCCCAGGAGCGCCACGCATGCGTGGTTCCGCCCCCTGCGCCGGCCAAGGCGTAGTTGGCAAGCGGCAGAAACGGAGCAGGCCGACCACCAGCTGGCCCAGCCCAAGGGAGGTAAGGCACCCGCCGGAAAAGGGAAAAAAAATGGCAGGGAAAAAAAATGGCGGACAAAAAAAAATGGCGGGTAGCCTTCCTTGGCGACCCCCGTGAAATGGTCGATCGACCCCAAATGGGGTCCCGACCCACAGGTTGAGAACCACTGGTCTAGTTTAACAAAGGACGAGGGGAGACATGATAGCAGTGTTCCAGTATCTCAGGGACTGCCCCAAAGAAGAAGGAGTCAAGCTATTCTCCAAAGCGTCAGAAGGCAGGACAAGAAGCAACAGATGGAAACTAACCAAAGAGAGAAGCAACCTAGAACTAAGGAGAAACTTCCTGACATTTAGAACAATTAACCAGGAGATCAAGTTGCATTGAACATCAGTTTCTCAACCTTGACCACTTGAGGACCTGCAGACTTCAACTCCCAGAATTCCCCAGCCAGCAAGTTTTGTTTGGAAATAAAGTGGAACAGTTACGACGAACAATTGGAGGAACAAATGCTTTATTATCATTTTTTTTCTTCCTTCATTACGATCAACAGAGCTTGGCGTGCCGAACCTTCGCTGTTCTGTACTGCTGACACATCCACAATTATAACATCACAAACAGGACTTGGCACGTAACATGTCATATCAATACCGAGACTTTTTTTTTTTTTTTT